CCCAAACCAGTGGTTATTCCGTATGTTGCGAGTGTTTCGGAGAAACTGAGACGTTTATTTTCTTAACATGATGTCCCAGTAGCTTTCAAACCCCAAAACACATTACGGCAAAGATTAGTTCACCCCACCTGAACTACATTTCTTATGTCATGCAATGAGTAGCACTCAGAGTACGAGTTATAGATGACTCAGCTATTGTAACACAATATAATCTGTAAAATTGACTGTTATAGTTCCTAATGTTGATTAGCTGTGGATGTTAAAATGTGTTGACTTCAAAAGTTATTCAGTTGTAGACGTACGTGCAGTTTGTGTCGTTAAAAATCTGTCGTCTGTCCCATGAGATATTTTGCTAACAGAGAAACAGAGACACGGTCAAAAAAGAGTCATTTTAAAAAATATCCTCTCTTCTTGCTGCTGCAGGTGGGTTAATACTGCAGAGATGCTGCAGCGCCCCCTGCTGGTGAAAACTCTCAGCATCATTACAGATTTACTGCTGAATATAAATCACCAGCAGTGTCAGTCTGTCAGCAAAATATTCATGAACTTGCTGATAAATTTTAATGAAACTTGCAGAAAGTAATTAATAAATGAACATGTAGGAAATATTAACTTTTCGTTAGCCCAAATGAACATGGCTGTCACAGCCAACAAGCAAAACAAAAATGGTTATAACTCAGTAAGTTTTATAGATTTTAAGTCTGATTGCCAACACATACCACAAGCACTAACACATTTCACAAGATGTTGGTTTAAAATGTTTCCCTTAACTATTTGTTTTAATCCTGTTTATCTGTTGGCAAAATGTCTCACAATCCATTTCATGGATTTTAGTGAAAGTTTCAAAGTTGGATCCATGATTAAGTTTTGAAGTTTAATTTATTTATTTTATCTCCCTGTTCTTAACTACTTTTAAAACTTTGCAATAACTCGAGTTTTAATGAGTAGTCAGGACTGCAGGAGGTTTTAAACAGCACCAGGCTGACTATAAGAACCATTACAGAAACCCAATAAAACCACTCTGCTGAGCTTTTTCCTGTCTGACTCCATACTTGGACCAGCTGTTGTCAAGCTGTAAAACATTGCTTACACAAGTCAGCACAGCGGGACTTGGAAACAGACGATTTCCCGTCGTTCCTGTTTGTGAAGCAGGATGAAGAGCAGGATGCCAACATGGTGACACAGGAAACAGAACTGCTGATGTCAGCTCAGACAAGCCAGAACTCCTGGATGAGGAACATGTGGACAGGATCGGTCCTCCATAAATCATCTTAACTTGCAGCAATGATGCTAGAGTCATTTATATATGTTTTTTCCTTCAATCGACACTCATTATTCCACACTGACAAAGTGAAAATTGCATGAATTAAGGTGAAATAAGACATTTCCATCAGGAGACATCAAACGGCCTGTTGTAATTAACTTTTTGTGTTTACCTTTGACTAAACACGAAACATCACATTCTTCGTCTCTGAGCACCGCTAACAAACAACCACCGAGCTCTACGTGGTATTTCCTGCACAGAGACAGCGTTTAACACGTCCTCTTTTAAACACTGAAGTAGCGGACAAAAACGCAGCAAAATCTTCCAGTAGCCAGCTACTTTTGAACCCAGGGCACCTTCAACCGGTGGTGGCATGCAGTCACGTCGTGGGAAAAATGATCAACGTGCATCATGGGAGATGTAGTTTATGTCAATGCAGGCTTTAAATCAGAATTCACTTATTTCATGACTTTAATACAGCTTTAAAATGCTCGTGGGCTCTGGTATAGGACATCAGAGCTGTCTCTAAGCCTTTGCTTTGACTCATTGTCATGTTGGAAGGTAAACATTGGGTCCAGTCTGAAGTTCTGAGGACTCTGGAACATGTTTTGACTGAGACCTCTTTGTATTTTCCCTAAATCATGACCTGGTTAAATTCACCACTGCTGGTGAAAAGCATGACACTAACACCACCATGCTTCACTGTGGGGAGAATGCTGGACAGTTTCTTTTTGCTTTTAAACCAGCTTCAACTTGTTCAAAACTCTGCTGCTAGACTCCTAACTAGAACATCCAAATTCTCTCACATCACCCCTGTATTATCAGACCTCCAGTGGCTATAGGGGTGTAAGAAAATATCGATACACTGAAATATCGCGATATTTCATTTCCCGATACTGTATCGATATTCTAAAGCCCTGTATCGATTTTTTATTTTTCATTCTTAGGAGGTTTTTATTTAATAGAATTTTTGGACAAAAGAAATAGCAATATATCGGGAT